TAGAGCCCCTCCCGGTTGCCTTGTGAACTGGGACTGTAAGCTAAACCTGCATTTCGCGGGCATTCCTGAATTTCGTCAGGCGCCCAGCGTGCTTCAAAACTGATCATGGTAACCACCCTGTTTGTCTCATTTGCAACAGTAAGGTGTTGCAGCACTTGTCCATGTTGTGTGTTTATGGTTACTAAACAAACGCTACAGTACCGAAAGAAGCATGCACAACAAATGTTCTTCATAGTACAAAACAGGTAAAACATAAACACCTTCCAATCAACATCCTCCAACTGGGAGCTCATCTCCATTCAACACACAAAACGAAACACACACAAATGTGCAGAAGGAGTGAACACTTGGGCTGTCAACAAAATGCATTCGACACCTTGCGAAGTCTGCTCCAACACCACCCTCACAGACGCATCCACGCCAGCGGGCCCTGCGTTTGCGATCCACCGCGTCATGGCCTGCTCCAGCTCAGGCCATGCGCCACCTCGACGTCGCATTTGGTTGTCGCCACCTGCCGTGACATCCCATAGCTCGGCGCTCTTCAAGATGCGGCCGACAGTGGAACGATCTGGGCGCAATCCGTACTGCGAGTAACACCACCTCGCCAGGTCGACATGACGCAGGCAGGGGTTGTCTACGTGGTGCACGCAAATAGCGCGCTTGATATGCAGCGGGAGCTGCTCCCGTCGGTTAAAGCGGGGCATTGTGAGCGACTGGGGTGTGAGAGACTGTAGTGACTTAGTGAATTAGTTGCACACATTTTATCATCACAGGTCGGACGTGCTGGGCAAGGCTGGGGCCTGTTCTTTGTGGGATGTCACATTTGTGTGGTTGGTGTTCGTTCCATGCACCTGGCTTGCATTTTCTAGCAACTCGTGTGGTAACCACACCCTCGAATGTATGACGTGGGTCGGGCGAACAACGCCTGGCTGGTAATGCGCTTGTACCTTGCGGGTCCCGACATACACGTGGCAGGGTTATTCTGACCAACTGCCTGTTACACGCACGATGATCCTTGCTCAGGTGGCGGCCTAGATGGGCGAATGCGTTCACGAAACCATAGTCGTTTCGTCCATTCATTTCGCCTCCCTGACTCCAGGCCTAGAAACCAAGGAAATGTGGGTTGGCGTGGCTTGTTTGGGAATGAACGTGCATTGATGGCCGAGTTGCGTGTACTGTTGCCAGCCACCCATGTGCCTGTACTGTGGGAGCAACAAGCAGGGGTTTCCAGCTCGGGTGCAGCGTTTCTATCCGGTGCATGGCAATTTCGCGTGCACTGGTCGGGCATCATGTGTACAAACAACAATTTTCCCAACACGATCAATAGTGATAGGAACGACTACATTACAATACAGGCCCCCGTTTTGCACTTTCATGCTTTCTTTCTAGATGAAGCCCTTACTAGGCCCTTAAGGACTTGTTGGTTGTGATCATGCAGCAAATATGACGACTTGTTTACATTTTAGGATTGTGTTGTACGCAAAGCAATACGACATTGTCTATGCGTGTACTGCCTTAAGTTTCAACATGTCAATCACTATGGTTTGAAGTGACAAAATTGGATTATCCATTATTATCCTACGGGTTACTAGTTTAGAACATGAACTTATTAACTAGCCACACGTCCTCGCATGGCGCAGTCCGGACCAGCTCTACCGCCCGTAGGATACTGGTTACTGCAATGACACTATAGCGTTGCGACGAGTCAGCCCAAGTGAGAGTTGTGCACTTTGTAGCTATGTCTCTGGAGGGGGCTGAGTCATAGTACTTTATGAAAGCATATGGCACCAGCAATCTCCCAATGCGGACCTCAAACAGTATCAGCAACTTAGCATACCATTCGAGAGGCTCTGCATCGTCACCCTCCCCAACAACTGCGATGTTGGAGAACCATGGCCGACCATAGAACATCGGCGCAGCACGAACGTGATGAGGTAGGCGGCTAAATGCCGCATCGATTGCAGCTGGCATGGCCAGCCCGTTGTGGATCTGTGAGTGTAGTTATGTTGCAGGGGAAGGACGGGATAACGAGTATGTCAGAGAGAGAAGGAAGAGCGGTGAAAGAGGGATGAGATGCCACCATTTTGTATAGCAACAAAAGGGGGAAAGAGAGAGGAGGGGGATGAGGTGGTAGGTTCAAGGGATCATCTTACGTGGATGGTGTCGATGCTACCTCCAGAGCATCCAGGTGCCTCATTCAAAGCTCCCCGTAGGAAGCGAAGGTCCGCAGATAACGCCGTCAAGAACTCGCTATCTCGGTCAGCATCAGTTGTCAACGGCACCACGAAGGGTGCCACTAGCCGGTTGGCAGGGACCAACAGCCTCCAACTCTCTCGAGTCATCACCCTTTCACCCGTCCGTTGAGCCTGCAGGCATGATCGTGTATAATAGGAATGAGTGTTATATCTACGAGTTGGAAGGTGTACGACCAAGTCTGCTATGAATAAAGTAGGACTCACCTCAACCATGCACGTGTCGTAGGCTTTACGCTTGCCGAGAACTGGTGCAATGGAGTCCAGCCGCAGACGCATCACCTCACTATTCATGATCTGTGCAGTGGCCGTGCGTCGGTTCGATGCTCTGTAAGGGTTCTTGATGTACTCGATGTGCAGGTGCTCAAACATCTGTGTAGAGTAGTGCTCTAGCAAGCCAGCACGACGGATCGAGTCAATGTAGTGGCTAATCAGGTGCATCTTGATGAAGCGCCACTTTGACGTCTGTAGAGGAAAGGCTGATTTTAGGGTGAAAATCAACCTGCCATACAATGGTGATGGTGGGGGAAAATATGTTTGAGCAGAAAAGGCATTGGCTATAATCCCATAGTGGTAGTCTTACGTGTGCAACAACATATTGCATGCACGCGCTGCATAGTATAGTAACACATGGACATACCTTTCGGCCTTGTGCTTCAAATCACGCAGCGTCTCTGTCGTATGCTCACTGGCGCGGGCACAGTAGGTGTACCAGTCAATGTAAGTTGCAATCGCGTCCAACTGCGCCTGAGGGACAGTCGACTCAAAGCCACGCACTAGAAAAGGAAGGACTTGCATGACACTCCTATGCTCATACGCCTGATAGCTCGCGCCTGAGGAGAAATACTCGCCCCCAGGCAGGCGCATGAATGGGTTGCGGTTGTGCTCCCGCAAGTAGGCCATTCTCTCGTCGGCCTCTTTTCTTTGGGCGATGGTGAGTTGTGTACGGAAAAAATCAATGATGTGCACAAGAATTCCCAAATCTGCCTGGTGCATGATATCAGGCATGACACTCAAATAAGGGTTCAAAATAGGAATAGATGACCAACGCCAACCCCACAGAAAACAATTCACCGGATGTGTTGACATGCTTGACACGCCTTTCGGAAACAACCGCATTTGCAAAAGCGAGGTAATGCCCTTTTGCATATGTGGAGTACGAGGGACAATGCGAGGCAATAGTTTGTTGGTCTCAGCAACAGGGACTGTGCACAACGAGCATGGGAAGCCTGTGGCCCCCGATTTTGTGCAAGTCACCTTGCACGACTCCGGATAGTCACATGCGTATGCGTACAAACCAGGCCACGCGTTGTACGTGGCACCAGTAGGGTCCTGGACCCTCACTCCGGTGTGTGAGGCCTTTCGCAATGGTTCCATGACCATTGAAAGGATGTGTTGGAAAACAATCAACTTGTCTAGCGAATCGTACTGAGGCGTGAATTCAGGTAGCAAAGCAAGCAGTACATGGCCCCATGGCTTCCAACGGTCATGCTTGTCGATGTTTCCTAGTGTCAGGTACACTGGATGACCCTTGGCCTTGCCTCTTTGGTCCATATGTGTCTCGTCGCTCGACAATATCAGAGCAACCACGACCCCGTCCGGGTCCACTTTTTTTACCTCATTGTGCAAAGTAAACCACCAATCCCCGGATTCGGGTGATGAGAACACATGTGTCTCACCGGGGATGCGCGAAGTGGGTTTAAGAACGAGTTTGTCCGCATTCTTTGGATGTGTCAAAAGGTCAATCATCCCAATGACACCATCACAAAAAAAGAACTCTAAAGAAGCTTTTGACTGTACGCGCACAAGACCTCGTCTCCAGTTACGGTGCGGATCTGGGATGCGTTCATCGACGTATTTTTCAACGTCTCGCGCATTTCTGAAAACCACAACGTCGTCACTGAACTTTGAACCAAGGTTCAAGATGAGGAGCAACTTATCAATAGCACTTTTGGACAGATTGGAGGTAAGGAGGAAATGAGCGAATGCATCTGCAAAATTGAATGTGTCGCTCTCACCTACTGATGCCGCCCCACCATCCCCTACGCCATCAGCTTCAGCCCTCTCCTCTGTGTGGGTTTCGGGCTCAGGAATGGTGGGACTTGAATTAGGAGGAGGAGGTTGCGGGGTGTCAGGCATGGGTGCAGTTGCTGTGGGTATGTTCAACATAGGCCGTGGCGTGGTAGCTTGCGTGGTGCGTGGAAGTTGCATGGAGCGTGAAGATTCAGCGGTTGCAGAACGATTTGCGGCGGTGGCTCGGCACGTTTCGCCATTTTGATGGTTCGTGAGCGGACCCCTACCAGAGAACCCGGCAGCTCCGCACACTCCGCAATTGTAAGCCATCTGCTATAAGAAGAGATGGGAGGGTGGTGGTGAGGGGCGGGCGGAGGGGAGGTGAGGAGGGAGGAGTAATGAGAGACTGCTGAGGGTGGAAGGATCCCTGAACGAAGGAGCGGGGGGAGAAGGAGGCAGCTGAGTGCAAACAGCCAAGGGTATCAGGCAGAGGGAAGGCAGGGCGCTTACGAGGGCGGCACAAGCTTACGAGGGCGGCGGGTGTAAGAGATGGTGACAGGGGAAGGGTGGGAGACGGGGGAAACCGGGGGCGACGGGTGTATGAGAGGATGACAGGGAAAAGGGTGGGAGATGGATGGAAACATGGGCAAAGGGGGAAGGGGTGGGTGACGGGGAGAAACGAGGGCGACGGGGCAGGAGTAGGTGACGAGGGCGGGGGTCAAGAAAAGGCGGGGGTCAAGAAAAGGCGGGTGGGGAAGGGGAGGGCGAGAGGGGAAAGCCAGAGGCGACGGGGGAAAGCGAGTGCGACGGGGGAAAGGGTGGGTGACGGGGGCAAACGAGAACGATGAGAGAAGGAGTGGGCGGCGGGGGAAAGTGAGAGAGACGGGGAAAGGAGTGGGCGGCGGGGGAGAGCGAGAGAGACGGGGGAAAGCAATGACGACGGGGGAAAGCGAGGGCGACAGGGGAAGCAAGGACGACGGGGGAAAGCCAAAGGCGACGGGGGAAAGCGAGGGCGACGGGGGAAAGAGTGGGTGACGGGGGCAAACGAGAACGACGGGAGAAGGAGTGGGCGGCGGGGGAAAGCGAGAGAGACGGGGAAAGGAGTGGGCGGCGGGGGAGAGTGAGAGAGACGAGGGAAATCAATGACGACGGGGGAAAGCGAGTGCGACGGGAGAAAGCGTGTGCGACGGGGGAAAGAGTGGGTGACGGGGGCAAACGAGAACGACGGGAGAAGGAGTGGGCGGCGGGGGAAAGCGAGAGGACGGGGAAAGGAGTGGGCGGCGGGGGAGAGTGAGAGAGACGAGGGAAATCAATGACGACGGGCGAAAGCGAGTGCGACGGGGGAAAGCGTGTGCGACGGGGGAAAGAGTGGGTGACGGGGGCAAACGAGAACAACGAGAGAAGGAGTGGGCGGCGGGGGAAAGCGAGAGAGACGGGGAAAGGAGTGGGCGGCGGGGGAGAGCGAGAGAGACGGGGGAAAGCAATGACGACGGGGGAAAGCGAGGGCGACGGGGGAAGCAAGGACGACGGGGGAAAGCCAAAGGCGACGGGGGAAAGCGAGGGCGACGGGGGAAAGAGTGGGTGACGGGGGCAAACGAGAACGACGGGAGAAGGAGTGGGCGGCGGGGGAAAGCGAGAGGACGGGGAAAGGAGTGGGCGGCGGGGGAGAGTGAGAGAGACGAGGGAAATCAATGACGACGGGGGAAAGCGAGTGCGACGGGGGAAAGCGTGTGCGACGGGGGAAAGAGTGGGTGACGGGGGCAAACGAGAACGACGGGAGAAGGAGTGGGCGGCGGGGGAAAGCGAGAGAGACGGGGAAAGGAGTGGGCGGCGGGGGAGAGTGAGAGAGACGAGGGAAATCAATGACGACGGGGGAAAGCGAGTGCGACGGGGGAAAGCGTGTGCGACGGGGGAAAGAGTGGGTGACGGGGGCAAACGAGAACGACGGGAGAAGGAGTGGGTGGCGGGGGAAAGCGAGAGGACGGGGAAAGGAGTGGGCGGCGGGGGAGAGTGAGAGAGACGAGGGAAATCAATGACGACGGGCGAAAGCGAGTGCGACGGGGGAAAGCGTGTGCGACGGGGGAAAGAGTGGGTGACGGGGGCAAACGAGAACAACGAGAGAAGGAGTGGGCGGCGGGGGAAAGCGAGAGAGACGGGGAAAGGAGTGGGCGGCGGGGGAGAGCGAGAGAGACGGGGGAAAGCAATGACGACGGGGGAAAGCGAGGGCGACGGGGGAAGCAAGGACGACGGGGGAAAGCCAAGGGCGACGGGGGAAAGCGAGGGCGACGGGGGAAAGAGTGGGTGACGGGGGCAAACGAGAACGACGGGAGAAGGAGTGGGCGGCGGGGGAAAGCGAGAGGACGGGGAAAGGAGTGGGCGGCGGGGGAGAGTGAGAGAGACGAGGGAAATCAATGACGACGGGGGAAAGCGAGTGCGACGGGGGAAAGCGTGTGCGACGGGGGAAAGAGTGGGTGACGGGGGCAAACGAGAACGACGAGAGAAGGAGTGGGCGGCGGGGGAAAGCGAGAGAGACGGGGAAAGGAGTGGGCGGCGGGGGAGAGCGAGAGAGACGGGGGAAATCAATGACGACGGGGGAAAGCGAGGGCGACGGGGGAAGCAAGGACGACGGGGGAAAGCCAAAGGCGACGGGGGAAAGCGAGTGCGACGGGGGAAAGAGTGGATGACGGGGGCAAACGAGAACGACGGGAGAAGGAGAGGGCGGCGGGGGAAAGCGAGGGTGACGGCGGAAAGAGAGTGAGCGACGGGGGAAGGAGTGGGTGTCGGGGGCAAGCGACAACGACGAGAGAAGACGTGGGCGGCGGACAAAAGCGAGGGCGAGGGTGTAGCTACAAATCACACCTTGGGAGATCACCGTGACTTCAAGGCAACCTTGCCGCCGAGTCGCAATAATCTCGCGGTTTAGCCGCCAACAGGGGTCGCTAGTGAAGCCTCTCCCAAAGTTCAACCCTTAAATCGCAGGTAACCGCACGGATTTGTCGCGCAAGGAAAATGCTATGGTTTGTTGGGCAAGGAATTTTCGAGTTTGGGAAAAAGCACGAATTTGGAATTTGGAATTCCAGACACAACACGTCGAGCAGAACAGAGGATGGAGTTCATTTCCCCCTTAAGCAGAACTGTCGAGAGTTTTGGGGCCAAGGCTGGGAGTCGCTGGGGCGTAAAAATCTGCCCGTTTCCCGAAAGGCTGAGACCAAAAACAGCGTTTATAAATACGGTTACAAACCGAAACGCCCCCTTGCTAAGATCTGACACATGGTGCCGTTAAAATATCAGCCACTTAATACAGTGGCAGGATGGGTTATCAGATCGCAGGGAAATGCAAACATCACTTCAGTTCGCAATGAAACACTTTAAGCTAGACATCACTTTAGGCATACGGACTACCCACTCGAAACCTACCCGTGAACACTTCAAACCGACCCGCGACCAAAAATGAATGTTACAAAGCGACACGGCTGGTCAAACGCGGGTGAACGAGTGGGAATGCGCCAAATCACCAAAATGCGAATTAGCGCGACTCGCAAAAAAACACGCAGCGATACAAAACTGCATTTACTAAATTGTGGCGGGAAACACACGTGTCAACCAACGTAATCAACCTGGTCGTGTAAGACAAAACCAACGGACGCGCTACATAGTAACATACTGCATATGCACAGTATAACAACCAGAATAGTAAAATCACTATAACTGTCCCATACAATACCACAATAACACATGCACAACCCTAATTGGCGTGCCTGTACATGACAATTAAGCAAAATTGTCCGTCGTCATGTGTATACATATACATACAATCACAAAGAATACTTCGGATTTTTACATAGCAAATCGACTGTTAAATCGGGAATCTAACATACAATAATCGCACCGTACCAATTTCAAAAATGTAAACAACAAACTCTAACACGTATGACGAAAATCAAAGCGTAGCGTCTGGAATTTTAAAACGATTCACCTTCCTTGCCAGTCACGTAGCATAAGCTAATGTAAAGCAAAAAACCTGCACACACTGTAAACGAGCCAAACAATATCAGAAATACTACAGAGGGGAAAAAACGCGATGTACACCCTGTTTCGCGCTAGCAGAGCATCTGGTTGCAGAACATGCACAGGTTGTAGAACGTCACCACGTTTGAAATGGTCTTATCACCGACGGTACAAGCACATTCACAAGAAAGCGGTTAGCTAGGATGCTGCATGGTAAAGAACATTAACCAAGCGTTTCAAAGCGGTTGAAAAGGGTATACAGCGATAAAGAAAAATTTTGCCCCCAGTACCACTCCGTCAGCTGGTGCGGCTTTGCCCGCAGGTTTCAGCCATACGGTTTATGGCACCTGACCGCACTGTAGCAGCGAATCGCGCAAGGTGAGAGGGTCGAGAAACAGGGTGTACCAACACTACAGGAAGGCAAATGCCACCTGCAACGAACCAGTAACCAGATCGCGACTGCCGTGTCTGCAAATCAGAACCGGCCAGAATAGGCAAACAGTGGCAAAGTTACGAAGGGAGAGTACGTGGCACAATTTACGGCTGCATCTCATCCAAACCAGCTCGACACAGACCAAACCCTAAACTCTCGAACCTCGGCCGTTCCAGTCAGCCCGTTAAATGGTTGAAAAAAACAGAAAATAAACGATCAGTCGTCAGTTTCGATCATTTCGAGTTCCACCGACACATCTAGCAGGAAACCTATGGTTTCCATTTGCCCCCCCCCCCTCAGAGTGCTCAGGGGCAAAACCCTTGGGCCTGTGTTTGGCTGACAAGGGATTTTTCCGATGCTTCGCGTTCACCGAAATCAATCCGGGCGTCTCCTTTCTCGCCTGCGTCGCCACACCCATTCGCCTCGCCTCACCTCGCCACTTGCCGCTATCGCCTCGGAGTGACCTCCAGTTGAAAGCAGGTTCGTGTCGTTCCACCCGCGCCACTCTGTTAGACCTTTGCGGCGCCGCCCGCCATGATGCCGCCTCGCCTCGCCTCGTCCCGCCTCGTCCCCGCCCTCGCGCTTTTCGCGCTCCTCTGCTTCGCGCGCGTGGATCACGCCGCGTGCAACGCGCGCTCGCTCGGCCTTCCGCGTTTCGCGGGGAGGTTCGGCGGGTTGGTGGGGGGAGCGGGGACAGGCGGTAGCTGGTCCTTCTTCCGCCCCGCCCGGACCGGCGGCGGTGGCGGAAATGGGGCGACGAGCGGCGGGCAGAGCGGGCAGGGCGGGTTGGGCTCGCAAGGAGGTGGCGGAATGAGCGGACAACCGGGTAGCGCGGGCGGGGGAGGCATGGGCGGAGGGGAAATGGGCGGAGGAGGCATGGGCGGAGGAGGCATGGGCGGAGGAAGCATGGGCGGAGGAAGCATGGGCGGAGGAGGCATGGGCGGAGGAAGCATGGGCGGAGGAAGTATGGGCGGAGGAAGTATGGGCGGGGGAAGCATGGGCGGAGGAGGCATGGGCGGAGGAGGCATGGGCGGAGGAGGCATGGGCGGGGGAGGCATGGGCGGAGGAGGCATGGGGGGAGGAGGCATGGGGGGAGGAGGCATGGGCGGAGGAGGCATGGGGGGAGGAGGCATGGGGGGAGGAGGCATGGGGGGAGGAGGCATGGGGGGAGGAGGCATGGGGGGAGGAAGCATGGGGGGAGGAGGCATGGGCGGAGGAGGCATGGGGGGAGGAGGCATGGGGGGAGGAGGCATGGGCGGAGGAGGCATGGGGGGAGGAAACATGGGGGGAGGAGGCATGGGCGGAGGAGGCATGGGCGGGGGAAGCATGGGCGGAGGAGGCATGGGCGGAGGAAGCATGGGCGGAGGAGGCATGGGCGGGGGAGGCATCGGAGGAGGCAGCGGGTCATTGGGTGGGAGTGCGTGTGGCAACAGCAGCAGCAGCAGGAGCGCCAAGCTCACGAGCAGCAATGGCAAGAGGTGCGCCCACCCACCCACCCGCTCTGCCATGCTGCCTTGCTTGCCTTGCCACTCTGCTTGCACGCTCAAGCCATCACGTCCGCTCATCACTTCCCCTCATGCATTTCCTTTCCATCTGTTTTCCTGCCCCCATTTCTCCTGCCAATCACCCTCTTCCCCCTGCCCTAACCCCCCTCTGCCCTGCTCCCCCACCCCTCCCAATGGCAGGGTGATGGCAAGCAACGGGTGTCCGGGGTACGACTGGCGAGTGCAGGCCACGCTGTACTCGCCGCTGCAGCAGGCGCTGTCCTTTGCCGTGCCGCTCGCCCCCACGCTCTCCTCTACCTCTATTCCCGTCGCCCTCCGCGGCACCTGCAAGATGGGACCCATTGGCTTCGCACTTAACGGCGTGCCCTTCTACAGGTGAAAAGGGGGGGAAGAGGGGGGGTTTAGCGCGGGGAGAGAGTAGGGGCAGGAGGGGGGCTGGTATGGCTCCCCTGCTCCCAGCAAAGACTGAGAGGCGTGCGTGCCCCTATTGCTTCTTCATACTGCTCCCAGTGCGTGCTGCGGTGACTTTTGAGTCGACTCAAAAGTTTCTTCATACTGCTCCCAGTGCGTGAGCTGCTCTGCTCCTTGCAGTATGAAGATGCGCCTCTCAGTCTTTACATGTTGCTGTGCATCCCACCTCACACCCTCATTCCCCATCCCCGTGTCTCACTCTCACGCCTTCATCCCCTTGTTACACCCTCATCTCATCCCCTCATTCCCCATCCCCGTGTCTCACTCTCCTGCTCGCAGTGCATGTGACGCCCTGGGTCGGGACGCCTTGCAGTATGAGGGCGCCACGTTTGACGCGTGTGGGGGGCACCCTACTGCCTCTTTTTTTCTAGTTCGTTAAATGCTAAATAACGACCATTCCCGTGTCTTGCCTTCCCCATTGCTCGCACTGCATGTGACGCTCTGGGGAGGGACGCCTTGCAGTACGAGGGCGCAACCTTTGACACGTGTGGGGGGCACCCCACGCCCTCGGGCCAGTACCACTACCACGTCGCGCCCGGCCTCGCCAACCCCTCGGCCATCTCCGCCTCTTGCACCACCGACTTCCAGCTCTGCAGGTGCGTTCCCCCGTTCCCCCATTCACCCTTCCCCCTGTTTCCCCCGTTCCCCTGTTCCCCCAACTCCCCCGCTCCCCCGTTCCCTGGTTTCCCAGTTCTCACGTTCTCCTGGTCTCTCTCCACCTGCATCTTCTGCCAGGCAACCGCTGCTGGTTATGTCAAGCCGCTGCTGCCACTCATGTCACTCGTGCCAACCTGCTCCTTTCGTCACCGCAGCTCACTTGCTGCTCCTTCCATAACCAGCCATGCTTCAACTATATGTTCCATTTACCATGAGCTGCCTCATGTCATTTACCTCATAACAATCCTCGCATCCCAACCATCCATCCCCCCCTTCCCTTCCCTTCCCCTCACCCCCGTTTTCCCTGCCCCCCCCCCCCCCGAGCTCGTCCTTCTGGCAGGACGTCCCCGGCCAGCACTCCCCCCTCGTCGGCTTCCCCCCTCCCTTCCCTCTCCCTTCTCTCTTCCTTCCCCCTCCCTTCCCCCTCCCTTCCCCCTCACTTCCCCCTCCCTCCCCCCTCCCTTCCCCCTCCCTCCCCCCCCCCCTTCCCCCGCAGCTCGTCTTTCTGGCAGGACGCCCCGGGCCAGCACTCCCCCCTCGTGGGCTTCCTAGCAGACGGCATTCCCCTCTACGGCCCGCGGGGGGCAGGGGGAGCGCTGCCCTCTGGGCTGGATGAGTGCGGGGGACACGTGGGCGACGGCAGTGGGAGCGAGCCGGCGTTTTACCACTACCATGTCGGCAGCACAGCGCCCTACACTGTGGCGTGCCTCAAGGGCTGTGTGTCGTCGTCTGACTGGTGCACCCTCGGCTCCGCCTTTTGCAGCAAGGCCAGCAGTGAGTGGTTATGAGAGTGGGCATGGCAGTGAGTATGGCATAATGGCAGCACGGCGCCCTACACTGTGGCCTGCCTCATGGGCTGCGTGTCGTCGTCTGACTGGGCCACCATGGGGTCAGTTCCTTGCAGCCAGGCCAGCAGTGAGTGACGAGCGCAGTGAGTGCGTCTGCTGCAGTCTGGGGCAGTCTGGAGAAGTCTGGGACTGGTTGGCTGTAGCGTAGTAGGCAGGCAGTGAGTGAGCATGGCAGTGGGTATGGCAGGGGGCATGGCGGCAGCAGCAAGGGATGGTGGTGGAGTGGGGTAGTGAGCTCGTGCAACTGGTGCACACGCAGTACCTCTGTTACCCCCATTCATCCCTTCTCCTGTGCTCTGTTTTTGCATTTTCCTCTCGTCTCCCCTCCTCTCCCCTCCTCTACTCTCCTCTTCACTCCTCTTCTCTCCTCTCCTCTCCTCTTCTCACTTGGTACCATCACCTCTTGTATCATCTCGTCCCTATATCCCCACCCCATCTCCATACGCCAGAGCAATACGACTACTCGCCCCTGGCAGCAGTGCAGGCAGCATAGTCCCACACCTGCTGTGCCAGCCTCCTTGGGGTGCTGCTTAGCTCTTCTGCAGCATGTCAGCTGCTACCAGTGATTGTGGATGGTACTGCATGTCCTACAGATTTGGGGTAGGTTAGGGTATCGTATTGTTAGGGTTTAAGGGTGCGTTCCTACATCGGATCAAGTCACCACATGGTGGCTGTATCAAGTCCTACACATGGTGGTTGATGCGAGGTAGGAACGTAATTTTGCTCGAGTATTCATTCTGTGGGTTGCAAATTAACTACTGTGATTGCCATTTTATACGAAGCTATTTCTACGAGTGGTAAATAAATCTCCACTGGGATGCGTAGTAGTCATGAAAACGGAGAAAAAAGTAAGATAACCCATTCAACTCTTGGGGAATTTACTTACCGTATGTGAAAATACTTGCACATTCTGCAATCAGGGGTTGCACCTTTTGCTTGCTTTTCTGGATGTTGGTTTAGAGTATCTCAAAATTCGGGTGAGGGGAGCCGACATACTGAAGTCATACGGTAGGCGCCCACTTCCGCGAAAACCTTCTTTCCTTTGTAACGCTGTATACGATAATGTACTCCTGGCAGGTCTATCTTCTTACATTGATTGTAGCGAGTGGAAGCTGATATTTGGAGCTATTGAGGATAACATAATCTCCGTGGTAATGTCGCACCACTGCCTCACTGGTCGCAAGCACCAGGAAGACAATCACAGTGCCTGTTCCACTAAAGCCCGATGCTTTCTGCAAGGGCATGCTCAAACTTTTGGCAAACCAATCCCCAAGAGGAGAACTTCTACGATAATTTGCATCCATTCCAGTTGTCATAATTGAGTTGATGTTCTTGGACGGAGTTCCATGAAAGACCAGCTCAGCTTTTCCCACCGTTCCTGCAGCAAACTTCTGGAAAATCTGACCTGGAAACGGGAAATGAAGCTTGCGTGAGACGATGAAAGGAAATAGAAGTCCAAAACTGAATCATGCATTCCATGCAGAGGACCAGCTCCCCTTCATCAACATTAACATGACGTGCAAACAAGTGATTTTTGAGAGATTGGCGTGAGTTGTACTTACCAAGGATATGCTCAGCATCGCGTAGAGAAAGGCTTGCCAGAGTATTAGCAAATTGGTCAACGAGGAAAGTATCTTCCGTAAAGCTTTGTCTTGGCTTGATGGTTTCGACATAGTATCCAGGGTCCACAATCTCTTCAACTGCTTCCCTAATGTAAGCCTCTGATAGGACATCCATAAGAATTTTCATCCAGAGCTGCTCATTCACACCATACAACACAACATGAACTCAAAGAATAAATCAGGTGAACGAAAGGTTAGGAAGATCGCTTACCATAACCCCCATAGGAGTGGCGAGTTGTTTCACGTTGTGAAGCCCGAAATGCGGAACCATTAGAATGTGTACTCGTTGAGCGCCTGGTGTCACCTCTTCCATGGTCCTCAAAACAATCGAGGAGTGACCAACAGCCACGGTGTCTTCGCCATTCACAGCAGCCCTGAGAATACGCTGGCAATCCTCCGAGTCAAATGGCTCAAAGGAACCATTCACGGAGCGATAGATTCCAGGCAGCATCGTATCACGACTTTTTCCCTTACAACACACCACAGTGGCCAACACCGCGCCAGACTTATTATACAATCCATACAAGGCAATGGAGGCTGGACGCGCGTCGACGCCATTAACTCCGGACTAGGTAGGAATTATCGTGGGACATGCACAGCATCCATACCAGCAGCGGTCCCATAAGAATCCGGAGTCGCTCAAAACCTTACCGCACCATTCTAACTGCTGCCCGACTGAGTGAGTTCCTCTAAAACGGTAACGGAAAGCACGTAGTGTGTATCGAGGTGAACATATGTGACATGCCAAAAGCTCTAGGACGTTGCTTTGGTCAATGTCGGAGAGCATGAACCTCGTTGTTCGCAGCTCTGTCCCTCAGATCAGTTTCTGGTCGCGCCAAATTGATTCGGTTGGGCCAGGTTGATCCGTTTTCCGATGCGGTTGGACCCTCCAGTAACTTTCTAAAAGGATGGTCACACATGACAGTAACTAATGTACACAACCACAGTGATTTCCCACTACAGATGTACTCCCCAAGCTAACCAACTATCACACAAACCAATTAGAACATTAATGCACACATAATTAAAACATAACATGTTTCTACTGAAACATTTTATTCTCCACTGCAGCAGCAACTTAAGGTCAGTAGCCGTAGTCAAGTGAAGTGGACGGCCTGGCCTCATTCTCATCCCAGTCCATTTCCTCCTCTGCTGTCGACGGCCTTCCCTCCTCTGCCTCTGCCGAAATCGCCTTCACTGGCACATCCAGCTGCGGCGGCTTCTGCTCACAAGAGGGATAGTAGTAAACAGAGTTGCAAGGGAGAATGGAAATGTGTGAGAAAGAGAAAGGGGAAGCACGCCTGTGCTGGCATCACCTTCGCCAGAACACACAACTGCAGGGGCTTCTGTTCACGTGCCAAAAGAACCAGTGTGACAGGTACAGCCGGGTTATACATGGTGTGTGTATCAGGCATGCTGTGTGTTGGCGGATGGGTTTTAAACATTGTCTTCTTTAGTTGGTGAGAATTAAACGTGTGCAAGTGCGAGAGTGTGAGGATGTATAGTTAAGGAATGAAAGTGACCTGAATGGGCGTCCACTCAATGGACTTGATAAAGCGGGTGCTCATACTGCGCCATGTGAGAGTGGACTTGCGTGAGAGGGAGTGTGTGAATGAGGGAGTGTGAGTTAAGAGAGCTCATACCGGCCGTGTTGCGGATGAGCGGCCACTCAATGGATTTGAAGAACGGGTGAGTCTCAACAGCGCCGTGTGAGAGTGTGAGAGAGTGCACGAGAGTGAGGGGTGTGTAGGTAAGGATAGACACTGACCATGTTGCGAATGAGCGGCCACTCAATGGATTTGAAGAAGGGGTGGGCTCGGATCTCAATGGCGCCGTGCTTCGCCCCCAGGCGGTCCGCCGGGTCCCTCTGCAGCAGCTTGCGCATCAGGTCCTTGGCCTCGTCCGACACCTGCCATTCAGGGAGGGGCGTTTATGAGGGAAGAACGAGGAGGCAAGGGTTTGTAGGGGTGGGGATTGATGAGCTGATGAGTTCCTCTGCAGCAGCTTGCACATCAGGTCCTTGGCCTTGTCCTACGTCTGAGGGCGATGGCACAAACAGGGGTGAATGAAGGGGAACAGGAGGGGCTGTGAGGGACACGAGGGTGCTGGGTGGTGGCTGCTAAGCAAATGAATTCCTCTGCAGGATGACTCACCGGAGGATTGGTGGGAAACGCAAGGTCCTTAGTGAGCACGTTGGTGAAGGTGCGCTGGCGAGGAGAGGTGAACCCAGTGACTGATCTGATGATCGATCCTAACAATGCATTAACATACCGGAGGGTTAGCCGGGAAGGCGAGGTCCTTGGTGAGCACGTTGGTGAAGGTGCGCTGGCGGTTGCGCCCGCGGAAGGGGCTGCGACCGTACAGCAGCTCGTACAGGAAGATTCCTGGAAAGGGGGTGCAAGGCGGATTGACAGAACATGTCAATGGGGTGAAATGGATGTGTCAATTCGCCGCCACGAGTTCTGCATCATCTCCAAAACTCGGAAGCAGTGTCAATGACAGTGTCATGTCAACGGATAAACGAAATGCAGCTGCTGTTCGTCGCCTCTGGCTCCTATTGGGCTTGCGAGGTTGCTTGGACATGCCTTCACCCCCACACCATCATTACCCCACACTAGCGAAAGCCCACTAGTCAAGCTCAGGTTAACCACAAAGCGCGCTCACTGAAGTTTCACCAGCGAACGGGGCTGCTGTGCCCCGTGCCGCTGATTATCTCCGGAGCAATGCATGCCTCCATGCACACAAAGCACCCCTTGAGCTGCCTCAAACCCACAGCCCGAGTAGTCACACACGAGCACCTCTTTCCACTCACCGAACGTCCAACAATCGACGGGGCTGCTGTGGCCGGTACCGCTGATGATCTCCGGAGCAATGTACTCCTCCGTCCCCACAAAGCTGTTGCTTGTCGCCTCTGGCTCCCATCAGGATTGCGGGTTTGTTTGGTCGCGTCCTCCCTGTCTTACTGCCGGAAACTAGTCAGGTCCAAGAACGAAGCCCACTCACCGAAGGTCCACCAGTCAACAGGGCTGCTGTGCCCTGTACCACTAATGATCTCCGGGGCAAGCAATGTACTCCTCCATGCCCACCAAGAGCACTCTTTCCGAGGCCTAAAGCCCACCAATGAGAGGCTCGCAAGCGGCTCTGGGCACTCATGCACTCACCGAACGTCCACCAGTCAACCGGGCTGCTGTGCCCGGTACCGCTGATGATCTCCGGAGCAATGTACTCCTCCGTGCCCACAAAGCATCCCACTAGCTGCCATACACTAGCTAGACCCACCCCCACACAAAGCGCACTCACCAAACGTCCACCAGTCGACGGGGCTGCTGTGGCCGGTACCGCTGATGATCTCCGGAGCAATGTACTCCTCCGTGCCCACAAAGCTGTTGCTCGTTGCCTCTGGCTCGGCCACAAGTATGGGCAGCAGCTCCAGCTCCAGCTCTGAAGGGGACGGACCCTTGGTGGCGCCTCCGCATCCCACTTGGGCCGCCTTCTTCTTGCGCTTCTCAAAGTCAGGCGGGACGGGTGGGAACTCCAGCTGGGGCACACACACAGCAAGGGTGGATAGAACAAAGAACGAAAGTTGAACTCCAATCAATCAAGACAACGCTGGTCAACGAAGTCAACGCAGGCAGGAACAACCCACACTTAGGGTTTGCATGATGAAGGAAACGTCAACATCATTCAACCAAGTCAACACTGGTCTACAGGGTCAAGGCAGCATGTACCCTGGGTTTGAACTCAGTGGTAGGGCTCAATGTCAGGTCAACCAAGTCAACACTGGTCAACAAAGTCACCGCAGGCAGGGGCAGCAGCATCATGTACCTTGGGTTTGCACTCGGTGCTGAAGGAGAGATCGAAATCAGTGAGCATGGCATGGCCTGACTCCTGCACCAACACGTTCTCCGGCTTCAAGTCACGGTAGACAACTCCTGCAATGAGTCAATAACGGGATTGCAATACAAGGTTTGAAGTTCAAGGTTATGATTTCAGGTTCAAGACAGTGAGCATGGCATGGCCAGACTCCTGCACCAACACGTTCTCGGGCTTCAAGTCGCGGTAGACAGCTCCTGCAACGGATTAAGCGATCAAGCCACAGGATTGGGTGATAAAGGTTACGGTTCGGTTTGGGGTTTCATTCAATCAGCATGGCATGGCCAACTTCTGCACCAACACGTTCTCGGGCTTCAAGTCACGGTAGACAGCTCCTGCAACGGATTAAGTCTCAGCTCCTGTGGAGAATTCTTTTGAGAATTCTCAAAAAACACGCTCGGGCTTCAAGTCACAGTACACCACTCCTGTTGTGCATTGAAAGAAGGAGTGTTTTGAGACGTCTCAAAACACTCCTTCTTTCTCGGGCTTCAAGTCACGGTAGACAACTCCTGTTGTGCATTGCGTGTGTGGGATATAACATACAGGGTTAGGGGTTGAAGGATGCGGTTATGGGTAGAGAGATCAGTGCAGGTACTCCAACGCCAGCAGCACTTCGGCTACGAAGAAGTGCGCAGCAGCCTAAGAACACCCACTCATACGTGCATACATGCTTACCACCCCCTTCCTCCCCTCCTCTTCCCCCACTCACCATGGCAGTGCAGACACTCCAGCGCCAGCAGTACTTCGACTGCGAAGAAGCGCACAGCAGCCTGAGAGCACCCACTCATACGTGCATACATGCATACCACGCTGCACACACCATGTGCACACACCATGCTGCACACTGCGTCAACCCACCGTGGCAGTGCAGGTACTCGAGCGCCAGCAGCACCTCAGCTCAGCCACAAAGAAGTGCGCAGCAGCCTGGAGAGCACCCACTCATACGACCCCCTTCCTCCCCTCCTCAACCCCCACCCACCATGGCAGTGCAGGTACTCCAGCGCCAGCAGCACTTCAGCCACAATGAAGAACACAGCAGCCTCGGGCAGGTGCGTGTCCTTTTCTAAGCCCTACACCCTGAACCCCAACGCCAAACCCAGCAGTAGACACATATCAACCCAGCCCAGCGTGGCAGTGCAGTGTTGGTACTCGACCACCGGCAGCACCTTGGCCACAAAGAAGCGGGCAGCAGCCATGGGAAGTTGACTGAGGAGAGGACACTCTCACCTCACCAGTTCCATCGCTCCATACCACACGCTTGTCCTACCCTACACCCTACACCCTGCAGTATAAACATATAAAAAAACTTACAGTGGCAGAGCAGGTACTCCAGTGCAAGCAGCACCTCCGCCACAAAGAAGCGCCCAAGTACTTGAGAGCACTCTAACCCATGCCATACCTCATGTCATACATGCATGGCATGCCACCCATCCACCATCACACACATATCAACCCACCGTGGCAGTGCAGGTACTCGAGCGCCAGCAGCACCTCCGCAACAAAGAAGCGAGCAGCAGCCTCGGGCAGGCACTTGCCCTTCCCTACACCCTACACCCTGCAGTATAAACATATCAAAAAACTCACCATGGCAGTGCAGGTACTCAAGCGCCAGCAGCACCTCCGCCACAAAGAAGCGTGCAGCAGCCTCGGGCAGGCGCTTGCCCTTCTGCTTCTCCAGAATGCCGTACAGCTCACCACCGGCGCAGAACTCCGTGATCAGACACACGTGCGTGGCGGTCTGCGGGGGAACGCAGGGAAGGAGTGTTGAGGAAAAAATGTGTGTTACTAGATGTGTCACATCACAGCAGCCCCTTCTGCTTCTCCAGAATGCCGTACAGCTCACCCCCCGCGCAGAACTCCGTGATCAGACACACGTGCGTGGCCGTCTGAGGAGGCGAGGAAAGGGCAATGGTAAGTAAGGGCATCAAAGCATCAGGTCATCTCTTCTGCTTCTCCAATATGCCGTACAGCTCACTGCCGGCGCAGAACTCCGTGATCAGACACACGTGCGTGGCCGTCTTGAAAATTGGGGACAGGGAGTTGTGGGAAAGGGGAGTGTTGATGAAAGATGGTTGCGAAAGTGTAACAGCAACCCCTTGTGCTTCTCCAGAATGCCGCACAGCTCAAAACCCTCCCCCCACAGAACTCCATGATCAGACATACATGGGCGGCCGTCTGGGGGGAAAAACAGGGAAAGAGAGTTGGGGGAAAGGAGCGCTTTGAGCCAAGGAAACTGGCTGGTGTTAAGAGTATTTCAGGAGAGGCACCTTGAGTAGGGAACATTGGGGCAGGCCGAAGGGTGTTTTGCCAGGCACCACCTAGTGCAGGGCGTACCTGGAAGGAGGCGTAGAGCGTGGGCAGGAAGGGGAAGTCGATCCTTCCCAGAATGTCCCTCTCAGTGCAAGCGCGGTGCACCTTGTTGCGATTCACCATCACCTCCTTGTCCATCGCCTTCATTGCAAAGAGACGATTTGTGTCCCTCAGCTCGACGAGATGCACACTGGTGATGGAGAAACATATTGGAGAGCAGAAAGGGGGGGAGAGGGGTGCGTGGGTGGGCGATTCACCATCACCTCCTTGTACATCGCCTTCATTGCGAACAGACGGGTCGTGTCCCTCAGTTCAACAAGGTGCACGCTGTTGACAGGGAGGGAGGGGACGGAGGGTAGCGTACAGAGGAGAGAGGGGTGCAAGCATGGGTAAGGGCGGGCAGTCCATCATCACCATCACCTCCTTGTCCATCGCCTTCATTGCAAACTGGCGCGTCGTGTCCCTCAGCTCCACCAGATGGGAGAGAGAGAGAGAGAGCAAGAGAGCAACATCATCAACCCCTTGTTCACCTGCTAGGGTAGATCCACTTTAACTGTCAATATTTGTCACAATTTCCCGTCCACCTGGCCGCGTCCCTCAGATCGGATCAACAAATGTCAAAATTCGTTAAAGTTGCCCGCTCACCTGCCCGTGTCTCCAGCGCCCAGGGGCTTGATTGGTCGGAAGTGCTTCAGGCTTAGTTTGCCGTCCTTCTTGATCACCTGATGGACGAACAAGAATCACACACGCGCATGTAAAATAAATAAATTAATAATGTTGCACCATAAGTCCTAGGGCAACAACATGCTTTGCCATCCATCCTTTCTTCCCTGCTGGGCGCACTGCTCACGCACTTACCCACCCATGCTCTCACTCACTCACCCACCTGCTCACCCACGCTACGCATTATGCGCGCATGCATACACATACATCTAGCAAGTGCCACGGGGTGTGGACTCAAGGACGGGTATCCTCCTTTATCAGCTCACCTCCTGAATGGCCTGCCACGCCGGGTCACCAGTTTTGTGCGGCTTCATTGCCACTGGTGCTGTGTGCACGGCCCACAGGTCCCCAGCGGCCTGAGAAAGAAACGAAGTGGGGAGAAGAAGAGAGACGGGAGAGGACACGCGTGTGAGTGGCTTGATACTTGATTGCCACTGGCGCTGTGTGGCCCACAGGTCCCCAGGAGCCTGCATCGAGAAGGGAGGAAGGCTGATATGAAAGAATGTGATTGGCTTGTATTGTGTTTACTCGCTTGACTGCCTCTGGCGCCGTGTGTACCGCCCACAGGTCGCCAGGGGCTCGGCAGAAAGAAAATGAGTCAACAAATCAAAGGAGAGAAACGAGCAATAGAGGTATGGCCGAGGAGAAAACGGGAGAGGGAGTTGAGGAGAGGAGAGGAGAGTGTGGGGATGGTGGTGGAGAGGAGAGGAGAATGGGGATGGTTGTGGAAGCAAAGAATGAAGGAAATGGATGAGGAGGTAGAGGAGGCGAGGAGACGAGAGGAGAGGAGCTTTAGAAAGGAGAGGAGAGGAGAGGAGAGGAGAGGAAATGAGAGGAGAGGAGAGGAGAGAGGAGAGGAGGAGAGGAGAGGAGGAGAGGAGGAGAGGGAAGGATCACTCACAGCACCAGGGTCGGCGAGCTCTCTGACTGCGCCCTCCACATTGTTAGCTGCTTCCAGCACCTGCAGAGGGACAGGCGAGGGAGAATACATAAGGGGGGACACGGGTCAGGAGGCGAGAGAGGGCAAGTCAACGACAGGGGAGAGGGCAAGTCAACGAGAGGAGAGAGTGCACTGCATGCAAGGGAGAGTGCACTGCATGCAAGGGAGAGTGCACTACATGCAAGGGAGAGTGCACTGCATGCAAGGGAGAGTGCACTGCATGCAAGGGAGAGTGCACTGCATGCAAGGGAGAGGGCCGGCAAGCTCTCTCTCTCCGACTGCATCCTCGCCGCTGTTGGTTATTCCAACACCTGTTTAGGTGAGAGAGAGGAGACAGACCATGCAGACGGGACCATGAGCCTCAGGGAGGAGAAAGGCAATAGCATGCAGAATTCACAAGGTCCTCTTGTTGGATTGCATTCTCAGAGATCCCTCTTGGTAAGAGCCTCGCAAGTAGGCCATTTGACAATATGAGAAATCGCCAAAGCTGAACTCTTGGTTACTTATGTGGCCGACCAAGAGTCACTTAACTCAAGATTTCCACACAGTTAGCAATGAAGTTCTGAGGCGACTTAATGGTCTATGCTCTGAAGTGAACACACGGGATTTCCAGCACAGTTTGGCAAATGTCTTGGCAACAGGCAGCACTCACAATCTTCTCTCCCTCGATTGCAAGCTTCTCCTGGAGCCCGTGGATGGAGGGGTCCACATACTGGGAGTGAGAGGCTCACATGTGCACGGATACAACACACGTGCCAACACGCATGCATGGTGACAAGCATAACTCACAATCTTCTCTCCCTCGGTTGCAAGCTTCTCCTGGAGCCCGTGGATGGAGGGGTCCAAATACTGGGAGTGAGAGGCTCACATGTGCACGGATACAACACACGTGCCAACATGCATGCATGGTGACAAGTAGGGATGAGCAAAATCCCGAACGCCTGTTCGGTTCGCCTCGAACATGTTTGAGGCGAACCGAACAGGCATTTTTTTTCGCCTAAATCGTTCGAGGCGAACATGTTCGGTGTTCGGCCGAACATGTTCGCCGTTCGCCATTGATTTTTGGCTAAGGGAATTCGAACACGAATGCGTTCGTGTTCGAATTGGGTGCCCCGCGAACACAAAAGTGTTCGCGTCAAAATCGGCCGCGACCAATTTTAGGTCGCGGCCGTTTTGAGTTTGAGCTCATTTCGTGAGCTCAAACTCAAAACGCCTTTAGCGCCTAGCCCTCTCTCACACAACCGCCCTAGCCTTGCGGTTTTAATAGCCATCGCACACCTTACATCGTTCATCTACACGGACATTAGGGTTAAGGTAGTTCGTAGTGTAGGGTGTTTGTGTGAACAATAGTGTTGAGAAGCATAGGGATCAAGCACCAAGCGGTCAAGGTGTCAAGTTGTAGGGACGGCGTTTCACAATATGACCACTGTGACTATATCGAATTTTCCCTTTGGCGAACTCGAACATGTTCGAGTTCGCCTGCTGCAACAATTCGTTCGCCCCCTAGGGCGAACGGCGAACACCTGTTTTCGCCCAAATAGTTCACCGAACCGAACACTGTTCGGTTCGGTATAAGTCGATGTTCGATAGGGGGCGAACTCGAACATGTTCGAGTTCGCCCTCTGCTCATCCCTAGTGACAAGCATAACTCACAATCTTCTTTCCCTCGGTTGCAAGCTTCTCCTGGAGCCCGTGGATGGAGGGGTCCACATACTGGGAGTGAGAGGCTCACATGTGCACGGATACAACACACGTGCCAACATGCATGCATGGTGACAAGCAGCACTCACAATCTTCTCCTGGAGCCCGTGGATTGAGGGGTCCACATACTGGTAGCCACGGCTGTACAGTTACAATACAACAACACCTGTACGGTTACAAGCACAGGTGCATGGCAACGCAGCACTCACAATCTTCTCTCCCTCGGTTGCCAGCTTCTCCTGTAGCCCGTGGATTGAAGGATCCACATACTGGGAGGCGTCCAGCTGCACTCCGATGAAGTACTGCAGCATGCCCTGTTGAGAGGAAGCCAGAGGGGTGAAGAGGGGTGACAAGGGGTGAACACCGGTGCCTGCATGGGTGGTGGATCGAGGGGCCCACGTACTGAGAGGCGTCCAGCTGCACTCTGATGAAGTACTGCAGCATGCCCTGTTGAGGAGAGGATGGGTGGAAAGGGGTGAAACGTGGTGTAAAGGGGTGAGAAGGGGTGAATAGGGTGCCTGCAGGGATGGATGGAGGGGTCCACGCACTGGGACGCGTCCAGCTGCACTCCTATGAGGTACTGCAGCATGCTCTGTTGCGGTGGAAAGGGGTGAGAAGGGGTGAATATTGTGCTTGCAGGGATGGATGGAGGGGTCGACGTACTGGGAGGCGTCCAGCTGCACTCCTATGAAGTACTGCAGCATGCCCTGTTGAGAGGAGAGGAGAGGTGAGACGAGGTGAAAGAGGTGAATAGAGGCAAACAAATACCTACTCACCCGTACACAACCACACTCCCCGAAACACTCTGCACCACTTACAACACCACACCACTCTGCACCACCACACACCTTGTTATCGCGCACGGCCTGCAGATGAAAGAGATTCCAGAACTGCTTGCCTGCAGCAGCAACGCAGCGGGGCAAGGGGGCAAGGATAGATAGACACGAAGGAGAGACGAGGAGAGTGGTGAGACGGGAGGGTAGGGGAGCAATGCAAATGTGGCACAGAAAATACCTGACTCAGGCACTTGATATTCCGCTCACCTGACTTGGTGTAGTTGAGCAGCTGCACCGTGATACCCCCCTCCTTGATCCCATCCATGTAGCTAAGCAGAGTTAACTACCTGCTACCCGCTCACCTGACTTGGTGTAGTTCAGCAGCTGCACCGTGATATCCTCTTTCTTGATCGCATTGCATCCTGGCAGATGAATGAACTACCTTACCTGACACTGTGCATCGTGCTTGCAATGCGCTCACCCAACTTGCAGCGACAATGTGATATCCTCCTCCGTCTTGACTGCATCTGTGAGGCTTAGTTGGTGCTATGTGAGTGCGATGCGAACCTGCCTTGGAACGAAATGCTTGCTACTTCCCCACAGCTCACCTGACTTGGTGTAATTCAGCAGCTGCACCGTGATATCCTCCTCCTTCTTGATCGCAATTGATACAAGTAGGCTGTTCCGTAAAAACTTACTTTCTCCTCATGCTCTCACCTGACTTGGTATAGTTGAGCAGCTGCACCGTGATATCCTCCTCCTTCTTGATCGCATCTCGAATCCTCTGCACCGTCTTGGGATCCGTGTCGGGGCCTTGCAGGAACCTGCCGTGCCACGAGCAATAAACACACATGCCATCGTCACACATGCGATGAGAAAACAAGGTCACACAGAAAAGCCGGTCTGCCAGGCGCCCCGGAATCTAGGAAATGCCCTCTGTCAGGCGTTCCAGAATATCCTCTCGGGATTCTCTATCAGCTCAAACAACTCTCCTAGTGTAAGTCTCATCTCCTCCAGCACCACTATAACTTCAAACCCAAAGCCCGACCTCAAACCTTAAACCCTCAGCCCTGCCCTCACCTGCAGTTTCGCCCCAGAAACTCCCCTCAGGAGTACTCTGTGAGCTCAAAGCACTTACACTACCGGTACTTTTAAGACCAGACCTCAAACCTTCAACCCTCAACCCTTGCCTCACCTGCAGTTGCGCCCCAGAATCTCCTCTCTGGAATACTCTGTGAGCTCAAGGAAATCGTCTGACGCAAAGATCTGCCCACGCAGGGGGGATGAAAGGGGAGGGCCGAGGGAGGAGGGGGAGAAGGGGGGTGAGGGGGGGGGGGAGGAAAGAGGAGTGTTGAGCGAGCTGGCAGGAGTAGGATGCGGTCAGAATGGGTGGGGTTGGAAGAACATGGGATGGGAGTACACGGTGAGTTCAGGGAAGCCGTCTGACGCAAAGATCTGTCCACGCAGGGAAGGAGGGAGGAAGGGGTGAGGAGGGAGACAAAGGTAGGCTTTTGAGTCGACTCAAAAGTCACCTCAGGGGTGAGGAGGGAGACAAAGGTAGGCTAGAGAGCAGGCAGGGGCGGACAGGGCAGGGTGGGGAGAGGGATGAGGGCGGGGAGGATGGGGTAATTGGGAAGGGAGCAGGCAGAGAGTGGTTCTCAGGCAGGCGCGGGTCCGTGATCACAAAGTTCTTCTTGATTCGCTCCAAGGTAGTCGCCAAGTCAAGCCCCCTCCTCGCCTCACTCACGGCACTGCAGGCCGCATCAAGCACCGCCCTTCACCCATTCCAACCCCTCCATCCCCTCGCAGCACTCACATCACCCAATCAACTCACAATGGGGTTCTCAGGCAGGCGCGGGTCCGTGATGACAAAGTTCTTCTGGATTCGCTCCAAGGTAGTCGCCAAGTCAAGCCCCCTCCTCGCCTTGTGCTCGCCCTCGTCCTCCTCCTCCACCGCCTCCATTGCCGGCTCCGACCGCTCCTTCTTGCTGAAAGCGTGCAGATGGGCAGGGGGGTGGAGGGAAAATGTGGGAGTCGTGGTTAGTCAAACCCCCATCCCTCCTCGCCTTGTGCCCGCCCTCGTCCTCCTCCAACGCCTCCATTGCCGGCTCAGCTCCCTCCTTCTTGCTGCATGGGGGGAAGGGGAGAGATGAGGAGGAAAGGAGAGGGGAAGTGGGGTATGAGTGCTTGCTAGAACAGACCCCCCCTCCTCGCCTTGTGGTCCCCAGCATCCTCCTCCGCCGCCGCCTCCATTGCCGAGGGGGAGCGGAGGGGAAGTGGAATATGCGTTCTCAACAGCTCCTCCTCTCGTATTTTCAGCCTTCGATGGGACTCTGCAGCCGATCGTCCCATCTCCTGCGATGAAGCACGAAGAGTATAAAAAGACCTCTCGCAGAGTCAAAGACAGGTGAATGCAAAGAAAGGCGAGTTAAAGAGTCAGGTGCCACTCACGACAGCAGAGACATGGGCCCAGTTTTTGAGGCGCCTCAAAAGGCGAGTAAGAAAGAAAGGTGCCACTCACGACAGCAAAGACATGAGCCCTGATTTGAGAGGCGCCCCTAACTTTTGAGGCGCCTCAGGAAGGGGATTACAAAGAAAGGTGCCACTCACGACAGCAAGGACATGAGCCCAGACTTGCGCCTCTCACTGCCCTTCCCGTCCGCCCCCACCGCAGCTCCCCCCGACCCCTCCCCCTCCGCCTTGGGGGGCTGCGTTCCGCCCTCCGCCTCCCCCCCTTCCGCCTGCAGCGACTTGTTCCCCACCTCCGCCACCAGCTCAGACACTGTGCTCTCCGCTTCCTCCCTCTGGCGCGCTGTGTTGGGGGGAGGAAGAGCGGGGCGGGTGAAGAGAAAGGGGGAGGTAAGGAGCCCAAGAAGGGGAATAGACCTGTTACCCACCTCCACCACCAGCTTAGACACTGTTCTCTCCGGTTCTTCCCTCTTTTGAGGCGCCTCAAAACTGTACTTTCCGGTTCCTCTGCAGAAAAGGGGGGTGGGGTATTGTGCTCCACTCCTAAACTCTGAACAGTACGTACCGTCATATTTAATGAGCGAGACGGGCAGCGCGTTGGGGCGGGTCTCCTTGTCCTTTGCGCCCTCCGTGTATTTTGTCACCTCCACTTGCATGCTGCAGGAGGGGAGGCGGGGAGGAGGGGGAGAGGGAGAAGTGGAGTGTGAGGGGTACGCAGGGGCAGAGGCGATAGGAGTAAGACAGGTTTTGACAGTTCTTATTTTTGCCACCTTCCGTGAATTTGGTTCTCCCGGGGAAAGGGTAGAAGGGAGGAGGAGGAAGGACAATGGGAGTGAGGAAATTAGGCAGGGGTAGAGAAGGGGAATAAGAGAAGTATGCACTCGCTGTTTCTGGTGCAATGGGTCACCTCCCCTTGAATGGGACGGGGGGAGAGAGGAGGGGAGGGGCGGAGTGTTTGGAGAGAGAAGGATAGAGCAGCAGTTAGCACGTTGAATGGTAAACTGCTAACGTTGACGGATAAACCCTAGCATTAACGAATAATTGTTGGCATTGACGGACTGCGCAGTAAATGCTGACACTTACGGACACCTTCAAACGCATGCTGACATTTTCGTCAATGTCAGCAATTATCCGACAATGCTGACATTGACGGAAATGTGGCATTGACGAAAACTCTGAGATTGACGGAAATGCTGACATCGACGGAAATGCCGACGTTGACGGAAATGCTGACATTGACGAAACAATGCTGACGTAATGGATAAACGATAACATCTAGAAGCAAACGCTGTTTTCTTGCGGATCAAAGTTGACATGTGGGCAATGAATCGACTGAATAGACGACCTTTAATATCCCTGACGGCCGACACGGTCACAAGGCTCCAAAAGGGCGACTTATTTTTCTCGGAATCGAGCAACTACGTCAATACTCGACTCGATGCAGTCACACTCGATAATACTTGACACAATTACACTCGATACAGTCAGATGATTCTCAGCCGCTCACCCGATAAACTTAACGACCGTCCCGTTGTCGTCCTTAACGGGCGACACGGTGAGAAGGTTCCAGAAGGGCGAGCCGTCCTTCTTGTAGTTGAGCAGCCGCCCGCACCAGCTCTCCCCCGCCGCCACTGCCGCGCGCAGCTTCGCAATCTCCGCCTTGTCCGTCTCCTCGCCCTGCAGGAAACGACTGTGCGAACGCGCGGAGGGGAAAGGGCAGGGAAGAGAGAGGGGAGCGGTTGGGGGAAATAAGGGGGGATAACGAGGGAGGATAGAGTGAGGAAGCTGGGTTGGATAGGGAAGAGGGGGGGGGGAGGGGGGAAGAGAGGAGGGGGCGGGGAAGCGTCCCTGCATTCCCCCGCACCGGCTCTCCCCCGCCGCCACTGCCAGCGCAGCTTCGCGTCCGCCTTGTCCGTCTCCGCGCCCTCCGGAAAACGACTGGCGGAAGGAGAAAGAGAAGCGAGGGAAAAACAGCTGGCGGAAGGAAGGGGAACGAGAGCGAAAATGTCGGGAAAGAGGGGGGGTAAGCAAACATCAAGAGCCGTCCGCACCAGCTCCCCCCACCACCATTCCGCAACAGCTTTCCCCTGTCCCCGCCCTGCGCGCAGCTCCGCCACCTCCGCCACTTCTGCCTTGGAAACTGTGTAAGCGAGAGACTCTTTGTGACCTCTTACTGTGGTAACTTCATAAGTCATGGAAACGCAACGCCTCTTGCACGCATGCTTAATGCGCCGTTTGTTTAAACCAATGGAAATAAAAACAAACAAACAAGTAAAACCAACGCACAAAAAAAAAAAAAACAAGCAAACAAACAAACCGACTGTATACAACGCCGAAACAATCAAGCTGACGAGTAGCGGTGAGAACAAAACATGCCTGCCAGCCGAGACCTCGACTTAATTGGCGATTTTTTATACCGTTCGAGGTGTCTGTTACTACGGATGTCGAGCTTCGTCAGTCACGAACCCCACGTGATGTTCTTGATATGTCTTTAGAAAAGGACTACCCAGTTCTTGGGCTGTGTAACCTATTTGATCGCCAATGGCGAACATAAAAGGGTTGTCACGCTTCATAAATCGGTAACCTCAGTAATACGCACCAGTTCTTGCCGATAGTCTCTTGGGCCGTGTAACCCGTCATCTGGTAAAACCCCTCACTGGCGAACATGATAGGGTTGTCGGGCTTCGTCGCGTCACACATGACGAACGTCTGCTGAAACGCCGTCAGCGCGTCTTTAAGCTCCGACTTTGAGCTCAGAACCTTCGCGCCGCCGGCATCTCCCCCCGCGCCGCCAGGCTGCACAATGCCTAGAGAGTATCGTCGCGCAGTGGGCACGCTACCACCGCCGGTCACGCCGGTATGCGTGGTTCCGGCGCTTAGTCCGGCTACGTCTACTTCCGCCATGGCTCTAATACAGACTATCCAACTGCGTTTCGTGAACAGAAGACGTTTGAATTGAGTTAACCGTTGGCTCTAGTTTCGACTACCTACGAAAGGAGCACCAAGTGTCGAGCTGTCACTCCAGAGAATTGAGGCGAACCGAGCCCTGAACTAGCACCGCACTGACGGTTTCCACGAAAGAAACGGGTAATGTCGCCTAAAAAAAATGACCAATACACTCAGTGCGCCCTCCCTACTCTCGTGACTGAGGGCAGAGACGAGAAACGTCGTTCAGGTAAGGGAACAGAAACGGAAACCCTGAACTCTAAAGATAATGTAAGAGAGAGTATTAGGTGTAAGGGCTCTACAGAACTTTGTCGGAGAGATTGACGAACATTTGAAATGCCTTCAGAGCCACGAAGGGCGTGTTTTAGAAAGCATCGAAATCGATCGAACAGAGGGTTTCGTGGAGCCTTGTTGCACAAACCTCCAACCCCAGCACACGTTTAGATGACAAATCCACGGCAAAGCAGTCATTCTGCGCTTGACCAAGAAGACACCCCGCATGCGACCTCCTGTCATGCTGTTCTGTTGTAGGACAGGATACCTCCACACCAAACCCACATTTTGTTAAGGGAACACAGCCTACCTGAAAACGTCGCTAGAGGTTTGGCGTGTTGGGGGTTGGCTGGTGATGGTGGTGGTGGTGGTGATTCGCCAACCAGACCAAAGGGCGCGTTGAACCCGTGAATTGCGGGAGAAAGGTGGTTGGGCTGGGCGGAAGTGGTGACGAATGGCGGCGGAAGTGCTGGGAGGCGTTACACCCAATATGAACTATAGTCGTGCTATCAAAACTCTTCTTCGTTTCAGTTTAACCACTTTTCCATGTTTTAGGCTGCTCGTTGGTGGTGGATTGTACGAATTGTGTATTTTCATCCTATTTTTATGCAAATTCAAACCAGCACATCTGTTTTACCTTAATACATCGAAACACATTTTCTGTATCGATTTTACGGTGAATTCATATTTATATAAGTAAACTAGTTTTTCCTTCAATACTGCCTGCTTTTGGGTGAATCTAAAGGTATACTTTAAAAAAAAAAACACAAAACCAAGAGGATTAGACAACTTGAGCAACTACAAGTTCATTCCTTTACTTGCTACGTCGTGGACAGCTCGGTATAATACTAGGATGGTGTATTCTGGGTGTGAGCAATCACGAGGTGGTTCGCAGGTCTGGGAGGGGCGCTCAGGGGAAAAGTTCGGTGCGGTTTTGGGTGGCCTCTGCTACCTGTAGTGGGTGGAGACTGTGGTGTTTGGGTGTGGGGACTTGTTGGGGAAGCCGAAGTGGAGCAGCTCTGGGTGGAACGGCAGGTTCGGGTTCGGGCAGACAGACGGGCAAGGCAGGCAGCCAGCTGGTTTGGATGGGACGCGTGTCTCGCCATCAACAGGTGGCGTGGCATGTCACTCGGTCCAGGCGCAGCATCGTGTCGGGTGACGACGGGCTGAAACAATATGACGATAGTTGCGCCGCGGTGTTTGCAGCGCGCCTCGGGAATTGCGCCCCTCCCGATATGGGACGTGCGTGAGAACGATTCTTTGGATGCTAGAGCGTACTGTAGAGCTGCTTGCACATCCAATGGATTCCTGGACAGCAGATGCCTGTACGTAATCTCGGTTGTTCAATCGAGATCGCTAATAGTCGATATGATTGGCTGATCCACGTGGCAGCAAGCTGGAGAGATTGCCAAACGAGAACCTTCATTCCGATATTGAGCGAACCACACGAAACCCTCCTGTAACTTGTGTTGCAAACTTATCTATCCAAACACCATTGGTAAGAAAAAAAAATATCCCTGTACTTCTAGTTCACTCTACGTTCCGCATATGGCATCCTTTGCCCACCTCACAACCATAATTTACCATTCCAACCCAACAAATATCGCCCATTAAATACATTTGCAGCATCGTGTCAGAGGCCGCACGCCTCGACTAATAACCGGTAGGCCCAGCCCTACTATTCAACACCAGAACCTCACGTTTTTGTGCCCGTCAGCATGACTTCGCTATAAATGTCTGCTCGTGCCTTCACTCTCAGGCCGATTATTACTTGCCGCATACATGGGTTACTGACATAATTATAGGTGGGTGGATTAAGTCCCACATCAACAAGGCGCATGGGACCATAAACAATTGTCTCGTGGTAAACAACTTAAACAGCTTGGCGCCCACCCCAGGGCAGCGCAGTCACGAGATACGCACCACTGGTGGTTGGCTCACACCTACATGGGCATGGGTAGTCCGTCACACTTCAACTAAAGCAATGGCAGAAGCCTAGCTGTACAATATCATCGTACACATAATTGTACCGGCTAACACTAGTTACCGTCTCCCCCCGGATATATCCCCATGGGGGGCAATAATAAAACAGGTTTTTTCATGGGGGTGGGCTTATAATCGAGTAAATTTATAAGCGCCGGCGTTTATAAAATGACATACATATTTTTTTATATCTTTTAACACCAAACTGTAGGTCTCGTGCTTGCCTTTTCAATCGAGTCGAAGTTACATGGGATCGTCTGTGAAATTCTCGCGCGCGCTGGGAGATACACCCAATCTGACTCAAATCCAGCTCCTGACAGGTCCTGCTGACTGGACCCGCATCCAGTGCAGGGTCCGAATGTGAAGGGAACCGAATCTGCAACATATCCGCCTGCTAAAGTAAAAATCGTTACAGCTTTTTGAACACATTTCAAATTTTAAAGTTTACGTGCGCTTATAATAAAACAAGTTTTTTCAAGGGGTGCGCTTATAATCGAGGAGGGGATATAAGCGCCATAAGCCAATTAGAAGCGCCAGGCGCTTATCCTAGGGTGGCGCTTATATCCGGGGGGAGACGGTATTGCAGTCTCACCGACGCCTTCTCTTCTCTTTCCCAGCTATGAATTTTAAGAATGATATCCCCTCCTTGTTCAAGCCTTGTATTTGCAAGCTGCTCTCTTGGCCCTCATGCACTGCCCCACTGCATCCCACCTCGCCATGCCCTGCTGCTTGTACTGCGCATACACACTCTGCTTCACACACTCTTTCCACACAGCATCACACCCTGCAAGCTTGTGCAGCGGGCAGTTGGCAAAGGGATTGTGAGGCCCAGTGCCTAGGGAGTAGCTGAAGAGGTTGGTGTTGAAGCCGTGAGCGTTGCTGATTGCACAAAAGGCCTGACGAATGAGAGAGAGAGAGAGAAGTGGAAGAAGTGGAGAGAGAGGGAGATGGGGTGACTTTGAGATGGCTGGAAAGTCATATTGCATATGTTGAAGTTGAGCCCTTGGGCATTGCTGACTGCACACATGGTTCGTGTAAATGAGAGGTGGTAGAAGAGGGGAAGGATGGAAGAGGAGAGCGGCGGCAGTCTTTGAGTTCGCTCAGCTCATGTTCTTAAGCATTACTGGCTTCGCCCATGCTCTGTTTAGCGAGAGCAAGAAGGGGACTGAATGGAGAGCCGCTGCAGAAAAGAACATCCTGAACCTTGTCATTGATTGACTCTCACCTCGTTTCTGACTAACCATATGCAGGGAATGTTGCGTCTGGCTATCAACACATACATCACACACTAACCTGCGGGAATGCGATTCTGCTCACTTGGCCTGCAGACGTGCCCCAGAGCTCCTTATACTCGATAGAGAACACGGCCTTGTTGCGAACAATAAACTTGTTGGAGTAGTCGTATTGGTATTTGCCGCTGTACCACTCGCCGTCGCTAAAGTCGCTCAAGTAGATGCAGCTCTCGATGATCGCCCAGACAAAGAGGTTTGCCATGAAAGAGGGGGCGAGCGGGACGGGGTACTTGAGACCCACTGACATGCCGTACCTGGTGAGGGTGGGGCGGAGAAAGGGGAAGTGGAGGGAGTGATTGTTGGGGTCAAGGGCTTTGGTTCTTGAGAACCACTAGGATTCTGTAACTGAAGCAGAGGGGAAAGGGGAGGGAGCATGTGAGGGAAGAAGGGTGGGGGGACGGGGGAAGGGTGGCCTAAAAGAAGACTGTTTGTGGGTCTGGAAGGGTGGAGGATCGGAAGCATTGAGAGTGAAGGGATCCGTGTAAAGGTGGGCGGAGGAGGGGCAGGGGTCGGGGGAAGGGACTACACCAGCTACAAGTTGGGAGAGACTTACACCTGAACATCACTCACTTGTGAACAGTGTTGGCGATCCATGAGTTGTTCTTGAACTGGTCGTTGGCAGTGACGGTGAATTGGCTGATGGCTTGAGCCATGAAATTGAGAGGATTGGCACAAATATGATGCTAGGATAGAACTATACCTGACAGCATGTCTCACTTGTGAACAGCATTGGCGATCCATGAGTTGTACTTGAACTGGTCATCGGCAGTGACGGTGAATTGGCTGATGGCTTGAGCCATGATGTTGTTTGAATACGCGTTGATGTTGTCCGGGTCAACCCCATCGCACCCCTTGCTCTTCGCCAACTGACATGCATCAGTAAGGAAAAGAGGATGGTGGGACAGATTTCAAAAGATACCGGCATAGGTTGTTAACCTGGGAAACCATTCAGCATGGTATGACTAAGCATGGTGCAGCCCCGGAAATTAGGCTACACATGTTACAACTCCATCTGTTACAACTCCGTCCGTGTGTTACATCTCAGCAGCTCTGGTGCTGTTCCGCAAGTTAAGTTGGCATGCCTTACATTGATCCGCTTCTCCATGATCGCCTTGACGACAGGGCTCTTGACGTCCAGCCACCTCTCCACACGCCACATATAGGTAACCAATTTCCTGATTGCTCCTATCACAGGCATGTGATACACAGGGAAAGTGTGGACGTCTTGTCAGAATGTGATGTTTGTATAGCCTGCAGTGGGGTACTCTATAGCAAGTACAGCCCGAATTAGGGTTTGCTATATGTACTGAACTGCATGCTATTGAACCTCCTCTTTCTCGTTTCTAGTTTCTGCTTGCTGTTTTAACATGGTATCAGAGCAGGTCGACCCTCCTGGGTCGATCCTGTGGGTGGGCCCCACCCGATGCTTCCGCTGCTCTACTGCCTGTAGCGCGCCCGGAGCGCGCGCCGTTTTCTTCCTGCCGTGCGCTCGGAGTGCGTGGCGTTTTTTCTTCCCGCCCTGCCCTGCCCGGTTTTCTGCCCTGCCCTGCCCTGCGCGGCGTTTTTTCTTCCAGGTTTTCTGCCCTGCCCGCCGCGCGCCCCGGGAGCGCACGGCGGTTTCCTAACCCGGTGACCCGCGCGTCACCCCACCGTCGCCCGACGCGGCCCGCACGACCTGCGTCAGGCCCGCGCGCGGCCCGTACGGGCTGCGCCAGGCCCGCGCGCGACCTGTACGGGCTGCGCCTGGCCCGCGCGCGGCCCGTATAGCCTGCGCGCAGCCCGTACGGCCTTCGCCAGGCCAGCGCGCGGCCCGTACGGGCTGCGCTAGGCCCGTGCGCGGCTCAAGCAACCCGCGCGCGGTTCGTCCGGCCTACACCAGGCTCGTGAGCGGCCCGTACCTTCTCCCCCCTTGCCGCACGCCGTCCCCCGAGCTTCTGACTGCGCCCCACCCCCGCTGCTGCCTGCGCTCCTGTGTTAGGGTTTGGGGATGGAGAGTATGGGGGTGCTGTGTGTGTGAGCCGTCCCCTTCTCCTCCTCCTCCTCCGTCTCCCACTGCTGCAGCTGCCGCTGAGGGGGGTGGATGTGTTGGAGCCGTCGGAGTGGTTCGAGGGGGGTGGCATATGAGCGGTGCTAGTGGTTCAGCAGGGAGTGTGTGAAAGGGGTGTGGGACAGTTGGGGGATGTTGACCGGAGGTAGCCGTTGTGACGTCAGCAGCGCCCGTAGTCCGGGGGTTGAGTACTCCGGTAGCCCAGCGAGCCTGCTGCTACCAATCGCCCGTGGGTCTGTTGCTCCTGCTGCTACTTAGCGCGGAGCCAGTTACTCCTGTAGTCCGGAGGTTGAGTGCTCCGGTAGCCACCGTACGCGCCGTTCCTATTGCCCGTGTGTCTGCGGCTTGACCCGACGCCTCCTATCTCCACTCCTCTCACTGTTTCTCCTCCTCACTTGCTCTCTGTGATAGCCTCTATCTTTGCTTATAATTGTGAACTAATGCTCTGCCTGCTTGTTGTGCTGATTGTACCCCACTTTGACTATGGGGGTGTGTCAGAATGTGAAATTTGTGTAGCCTGCAGTGGGATACTCTATAGCAAGTATAGCCCAAATTAGGGTTTGCCATATGTACTGAACTGCATGCTAGTGAACCTCCTCTTTCTCGTTTCTAGTTTCTGCCTGCTGTTTAAACACGTCTCACCAGGATCCGCTTCTCCATGATCGTCTTGACAACAGGGCTCGTGACGTCCAACCACCTCTCGCCAGGCCACACCTCCGTGCACAACTCGTTCTGCTCACAAGCAGAAATCATTTTGTCGACACATTACGAAAACGAAAAACGTAATCATATTTTTTTCGACATAGGCATGTTAAAACCGCGAAAGGTGATTCTTGAATCGCTCGAAAGCGAAAGAAAGGATCCATAACGCCTGTGGACTGATAGAAAATGTCAATATCAGGTATCATACCATGCAAGCGAGCCCTCCAATAGCGGATTTCGGGAACTGGTTGTAGTCGCTGCGATATTCCTCGGCGGTCCCAAAGCTGATGTAACACATCACCACCTTTCCCGCGTTGCAAAGTTTCGCGATGCTCTTCGCTGTCACGCAGAAGTCAACGGTGTAGACCGTTGCCGGGTGCGTTGGATTCACGTCTAATGGGGTTCCGAAAGAAGCATGTACGAACAATCAGAACTTGAAACGCGAATGATAGTTTCTAAAGTAACCGACAATGCGAGAATGCTAGATCTTTGCATGCAAAGAAGGTTTCACAAAGACAATACGAAAAGGAAATCAAACAATCAATAGTACCAGCATCTGTTCCGCTTAGTTGCCAGAAGAACGTGGTCCCTCGTTTCGGCACATACCAACCATTTGTGAAAAAATAAGAATGAGATGAACTAGGAAAGAGTTGGGTACAAATATGAAACCCTAGAAAGCTGTACCCCATACTGTCTACCCCACTACAGCCTAGAAAGACTATAGCATATAAGCTCGAAACACCCCCATAGGCAAAGTGGGGGAGAACAAGGGGTCACAAGACCAGTCAAGCAAAGCACAGTAAGCTCAGGGTGGATCACAACGTCACCACACATTCTGAGCACAAATTCAAGGGCCACAAGGCCAGTTCACATGCAAGCACATAGATATATAAAGCTAAACATGCAAGTGCAAGTATATATAGGTCACAGTACAAGCAAGGTCAAAAAGCGAGCAAGTGAGGCAAAGTAGGTACACGACCTAACAAAGTACAGAAGCGCTGATGATCACAAGGCTGTCAAACATTATATGTTTGTGTGGTTCTAGGCTGTAGTGGGTCACACCATAAGGGGTACACCAGATTAGGGTTTGACATATTTGTACTGTTGTTCCTGCTAGTCACCATTCATTCTCGTTTCTCATTCTGACATGGTATCAGAGCCTAGGTTCCACCTAGGACCGAAACGATATGGCCCACCGTTTCCGCTAGCCGCGCCCTCGTGCGCCGCCGTTCTTTTTCCTGCGCCTCGAGCGCCTCGATCTCAAGACCCCGTATGGCCCCGCGCTAGCCTCTCACGGCCCCCGGTCGGCCCCGCGCTAGCCTCCTAAGGCCCCCGTCGGCCCCACGCTAGCCCCGCGCTAGCCTCCTAAGGCCCCCGATCGGCCCCGCGCTAGCCTCCTAAGCCCCCGTCGGCCCCACGCTAGCCCCGCGCTAGCCTCCTAAGGCCCCCGTCGGCCCCGCGCTAGCCTCCCACGGCCCCTGCAGGCCCCGCGCTAGCCTCTCACGGCCCCTTAAGGCCCCACGCTAGCCTCCCACGTCCCCTGCAGGCCCCGCGCTAGCCTCTCACGGCCCCCCCTTAGGGCCCCGCGCTAGCCCCGACCGGCCCTCCCGCGCTCGCCCCTCTACGACCGAGCCGCACGGCGCGACCCGAACCGAACCGCGCGACCCAGCCGAGCCGCGCCGCCCCAGCCGAGCCGCGCCGCCCTAGCCGAGCCGCGCCGCCCTAGCCGAGCCGCGCCGCCCTAGCCAAGCCGCGCCGCCCTAGCCGAGCCGCGCCCTACTTACTTGTGCACAGCACTGCTACTGCTACTGCTACTGCTACTGCTACTGCTATTGCTACTGCTACTGCTACTACCACCACTGCTGCTACTGCTACTTCAGCTATGGCTAGCCCTACAGTTCTCTCGTTCGATTCTGAGGGCCGCCCGATTAAGTTTGATACCTGGCTCGATGATCTGCACCTGTTCCTCCAGCTCACTGCCAGAGAGGATATCTCGCTGTACGATCACGCACTAGGCACAGTCCCTTCTCCTGCTACTACTGCTACCGCTACTGCTCGCTCGCAGTGGCAGACTCGCGATGCCCACGCCCGCTTTGCTATTCGCAACTCCCTGCCAGTAGATGAGCGTGAGCACTTCGGCCAGCATCAGACTGCGCAGGCCCTGTACACTGCTGTAGTTGCGCGCTACTCCTCCCCGGCCTCAGCTGCACTAGGCCATCTCTCCCTTCCCTACCTGTTCCCCGACCTGTCCGCTTTCCAGACAGTCGCTGACCTCATCACTCACCTCCGTACTAGTGATGCCCGCTTCCGTGCAGCCATGCCTGCTGAGTTTCTTGCCTCCAACCCTCCCCCGCTCTGGCTCACTCTCTACCACCTAGTCACCCGCCTCCCTGACACTCTGCGTACAGTCAGGGACCACTTCCTAGCTCGCTGCCCCACTGAGCTCACCATTGCCGCCCTAGAGAAGGAACTACTTGCAGCTGAGAATAGTATTGTAGCTGTAGGTGCCTCTCGTGGCGACCCCCGCACCCCTTTCTTCGAGGGGTGTTCCCCCTCCCCCCTCCTCCCCTCTGTCGCCTCTGCTGCTGCTGTCGACCTTCTTAGTGCTGAGCAGGTCGGCTCTGCGTCCGCTCCCAGCGGGCGCCGCAGCGGCAAGGGCAGGGGAGGCAAGGGCGGTGGGGGTGACGGCGGGGGAGGCGGTGGTGGGGGTGGTGGCAGCGGCGGGGGCGGTGGCGGGGCTGGAGGGGCTAGTGGCAGCGGTGGGGGTGGTGGAGGCAGCGGCGGCGGCGGTGGCCGGGGTGGGGGCGGTGGTGGTGGCGGCAGTGGACGTGGCGGCGGCAGAGGCGGTGGTGGTCGTGGTGGAGGCGGCGGTGGTGGTCGTGGAGGCTCTGGCACTGGCCAGAGTGCGCAGCACCCTCAGTCCTCCCAGGAGCTCCGTGAGTGGTACTTACAGCACGGGGGTGGGGGGGGTAGCCTTAGCTGCACATACGTCATCCGCACTGGTCGCCGCAAGGGACAGACGTGCGGGAGGGCGCACACTTCGCAGCGCTGCTTCTCTCGCCTAGATGACGCTTGGCGTGCTCAGTTTCCTGACGCTCCTGAGCTCCCTCAGTGGGCTGATCTCCTCAAGAAGGATATCGATATCTATGCTCTTGATTTTGATGTTATTCTCAAAGCAATGTATGCATCGACTATTAGTGGAGAGGAGGACCAGTACCTGAGTGTTCCGCCTGACCCAGGCATCCGCACGAGTGAGGCTGCCGCCCTAGGTGCTTGCGTGTCTGCTACCCCAGGTACTGGTGAGGCTACTGCTATAGGTGCGTGTGTGTCCGCCACCCCAGGTATTACTGAGTCCACTGAGGCACTGCACACCTTCACTCTAGACTCAGGCGCTTCGCGCTGTTTCTTTCGTGACCGCACTGCTCTTGAGCCCCTTGCTCGACCAGTCG